GCATTCTCAGCAAGGAGGTGATTTTTTCTATCACAATCCTTTAAAATATTTACAGCTGTTGGTTTACCACTATGTCAGAGCATTTCCTTGCCTTTTAGCCTATCTCAATACACTTTCCTACGGAATGGTAAGTATCTAGCATTTGGGACTCCTTGGTTAATAAAAGAGAATTTATAGCTAGCAGCTGACTCGGGAATGCACGCTGTAAACAGAGAAGCAGTTTTCCCCTCTGACTTTCTTACAGAATTTTTGGAGATATTTGACAGTATCTAAGACTTGACAGTCCAGTTATGAATAAAGAAATTAATTACCATTTTGCCATAAAAGACAGTGGGCAACCTTCTGGCCCTGCACCCCAAGGTCCTATTTGCAGAGGGTCGGTATGCAACCCATGTGTCATGAATGGAGAGAGTCCTTGTGCTCGCTCTCTACATAGAAATAAATTGTACTCTGGCTGGACGACCTTGAAGGAAATATCTTTACTTGGAAGATTAATGAACTCCTCCTGAATTACTTGTTCACCCAAAGCCCCCATCTCCCAGGTGTACTAGCCAAGTAAGATAGTAGCAGACCTAGGAACAGCTGTGGTAGCTAGTGAAGGGCTTCCTTAAAGTAACAGCAGAAAAAACACTTTTATCTGGCTTTTTTAAAATGTTCGGTTTCACTCAAGGTGCATCAGAGGAGTGAGGGCTTAGGTTTGGTGAGACTGATGGAGTGATAAACTGTGAGAATGACTGTTTGTAATCTAGAACATCACATCACACACTTGTTTATGTGAAATCCTGGTTCAGATCTCATCAAAACTGTCTGTTTGTACATTTGTTTCACAAACGGATTTTTTCATAACGCAAATTGGTTCATCAAAAAGATTCTGTCAAGGTTGGTTTGACATGCTTACCTGTCATTCATACACTGTGATTGTCAGTTGCAAATAGGTTGCTCTGTAAGTTGTGGTAATGTCATGACTTTGTGGGTTTTGGGTGAGTTTACTTCTTATAGTTGGATTACTCTGCGTCCCTGGCCTATGTGAATGGTGGCACTCCCCTGCATGGATTCACTCATGCACAGTAATACATGTCAATATCTTTTCTCTCCCTCAATGTGAAACTAATCTGATCTTTCTTCTTTATCCATCTGCTCATCTTCACCCATTCAATACCACTGAAGTCTTCCATTCTGTATCATATTTGATTAACTTTAATGAACAGATTCAGAAGCTACTATATTGGAATAAAAGAGAAAATGAAGACATTATCTTTAAGAAAACTGTCTATTATTAGAACAAAACTATATCGAAACAGAACATGCTAAATGAATGAAAACCTGGCACAATAGTAAATTTCAGGTAGTGATCTGTGGGTACAAATTATCATTCCTTGTGGTTTTTTCCTAGTCATCAAGGAGGTTTTGGTCAAAACAATAATCACTATCTTTTTCAATGATATGGAAGCAAAAAATAAAGTTCTTGCCAGTAAACTTTGCAGATATCACAGAAACCATGCAATGATAATTGATGAGGAGGACAGGTTTAGCTCTACAGAAGAGCGTGAATCACATGCTAGACTGTGCCCCCATTATAGATGAGAATGTATGACACATTTACCAGTGGTGTTTGTATTTTGGGAAGCAGTAACTTGGAAGCAGATCTGAGCTGAACATGAGCTCAAAATACGACAGAATAGCTAAGAAAACAGTGGCAATCTTGTACCTAAAAGAAGGGAATTACTAAAGAGAAATGTGAGATGGTGCTAACACATGATGTTTTCTTAGAGAAAGTTTATAATCATTTCATCTGTCAGCACATTGACAACATTAAAATGATAGGAAAGGACCAGAAAAGAATGATGCAAAGTATTAGGAATCTAGAAAATATTCCTAATTCTGAGAGTAAATAAATTCCACCTATTTAAGCTTGGGTAATATATAACAAATATATTGCAAAATGTTAAGTTAGGTTGTAATTTGCAGTATATTGTCTTTGTTGTGTTGACTGCCCACAAATATTTTCTTACCTTGTGAACAATACAATGGTAGTTTTGCCCTGAAGGAAAAGGAGTTTAGGTGTTTTACATTCAGCATGGTCAAAAGTGAATGTGAGGACCACTGCTGTAGAGTAACTAATGTACTAATTTGTTGCCTCAGAGTAACTTCCCTACATTGCAGCATCCTCAGTGAATTCAAAAGTAGGTTAAAAGATTAGATGGTTAGGACACAAAAATGGAAACATGGGAAGCTGACATATTTTTGTGGTCTCTTCATATTGACAACATCTGGTAGCTAGAAGCTGAAGCTAGAAACATTGATACTGGAAACTAAAAGCTAGTTTCCTAAAGATATTAGAGCTATCAATTGCATTCTTGAAGCTAAAAATAGAGTGTTTCTAAAAGCTTGTGCAGAGATTTTGTCTTTGACAGAGGAAATCTCTTAAAAATATTTTGGATCTGGTTTATCCAAGCAGTGACATTACACAAATAATGACATTTCCTTTTAAAAAATCAATAAAATTGTAAGAAGTGCCTGCCTAGCATATGGTCTATATACCCACCATATTCCCAGGGGTATAAATGATATAAATCTCTGGGCTGAAAATCAGTTTATGGATTCAAGCAATGCTTATATTAAAGTTCTTTTTTTTTTTTTTTTTTTTTTTTTTAATTAGCATTTCTTTATGAATCATCCTTTTTAAATTATGCTTTAATAATAAAGAAAGAGATGTCACAGCCAGTTGGAAATGAGACTAAAGTTAGGAAAAGCGTGTTGAAGGCTGAGCTCTTACTCTTGCTTGTCAGCATCATAACATCAGATGAGTTGGTTGCACTAGTGTTCAGGTAAAATCTAAACTTGTCATAACGATCTTGTCATCACTGAAAACATATCCATAGAAAAGTTGTCCAAGAAACATTTGTGTTAGATATAAACAATAGCCCTTTTTATTTTTACTTTTTGAAACAAATATACACGTGCATTTTTTCTGTCCAATAATCTGGTTTTTGTGCTGCTTAATAGGATATCATGCTCATCATTTCAGGTTCCTTAACATCTTTTACTCTTATCGATGTCTTTAGGCAGTAAAGAAGGAGGAGATCATACATCTGCTTTCTTAGAGACCAAATCCTGCTCCTAATTCATACCCAAAGCACTCCTTTCCCAGACCTCAAACTCACAAGTTGCAGTGATACAAAAGCTGACAAAAATGACACTTCTTGTCATTTAAATCCAGACAAGAGTTGAATTTCAGTGGAAGAAGTGAGGTAGAATTTGTATGGGACTCTTACTCAAGAAAGTATATCCTATCACAATAGCCTTGGACTTTCTTTGTTGGAAGTTTAAATTATGTTTTCAGAAACAAGGTATCTTTGGGTTTGCATATATGCACATATACGTGTGGAAACATGGATTTAAGAAAACTTGAGCCAAAATCTGGTAAGACTCAATTTTCTGTCCAAATCCCTGTGCAGGAGCCTTTGACAGAAGCATTCTCAACTTTCCCAGAGCAGGACCCGATGGACAAGGTTAATCATATGGATTAATTTTGTTGAGGGATCAGAAACCTGAAGCCAGCTCCGTATAATACCTAAATCCCTTAATACAACCAGCAGAGCCACAATGCTTCTGTCCTCTAAAGCTGATGCTTTCTATTACTTTAAGATACCTGCTTATTCATCTTTCTTTTCAGCCCAAGTGCTAAAGGAAGGGTTTTGTGGTTGGAAGAAAGCCAAGCTCACAGTTCAGAAAGTCAGGAGATAAACTACTGGCCTCATTGTACTCAGTAGGACTTTTATCACTGGCTTCAGTTCTAGATTTCACCAAATAGTTTTCTATATGCAAAGCTATATTTATGTACATCTGTTTGCTTGATCTGTGCATGGAAAGAAAAATAGAAGCACTTCTGAACAGTTTTTGCAGGGACATTAAAGGTTTACCTAGAAAACAACAAGCATGAAAAATTACAGGCACATGTGTACTGTTCACTAATAATTTCTGTAATGAAAATGCAATCTCTAATCTATTGTATCCTAAAGATGCAAGACACTTTCACGGGCAATCTTAGACTGCAGCAAGGCAAACTCCTACCTGGAAGTCGCCAGAATTTTTGATGCTCAAGACCTGAATCTGAATTTTTTTTCTTTGCTCTCATTTTTATTAAAGATCAGCAGAACATCTGGCAATCACAACAGCTGAATAAACTTCATCTTACTATGAATGCAGGGAAAATGGAATGGAATAACTTCTGACAAAGGGAAAAATGTGAACATGATATTTGGATGCAATCACCTTTTCTCTGTATTTATATAACTTAAAGTAGGTAGTGAAAGCTGTTTAATCATATTAACATTTAAGAATATGATTTTATAATAATTAATGGGAGATATCTTAGTTCATTCTCTGTAAATAAATGACCTGAAAAGAAAATATACTTTGCATGAATCTCCCATTTATCAAACTAACGAGTATACACTAGCCAGAGAGTGTAGAAATTATGATACAATTTGAGAAAATCTCATAACAGAGGTTATAATTCCTGCAATCATTAAAACCAAAAAAACATCTGTTTAGAATTCTAAAGATAAGATAAATATGGTCATTTCCTGCTGCACCGGAAGAGCTAAGAGAGCCACCATATGCTTCAAGACATTTGCTTTCTGTCAACCTGTTAAACTAATCTATGATATTACTGAAGCAATTATATAATAGGTATTAATGTATTTATAGCAAGCCAACACTATCTGACTAAAAAAATTAAGTATTTATAGAAGCAAAACAAAACAAAACAAAAAAAAACATGAACTACTTATTTGATACTATGAAATACCCTTGGATCTGAATGATGTTACATCTGATGAATGAGAGGAGATCAAGTCAGGTAAAAGTTTTAGTGAAATGGACTTACTATAAAATATTTTACTGATGGCTTTGCTTCTTTATGTATGGTCACAAATATTCATTTACAAGTTGAGTGTAAGTGTATATAAAAAGATAAGGACACTATCTACATTTACCTACTCTGATCCCAGTTGGCTGCAAAAAGCAGAAGAATCTTCCTGCCACAGTGGTCGCGATTTTCTAGCACTCCTGGGAACCCATCAGTCAGAGCCCGTTTGATTCCTGGATCATCAGCCTTGAAGTTTTTGAACATATCCAGATTTAATTGGCGGTACTGGAAGTACTGAGCCAGCAGTCTGAAGGCTTCCGTTTGGTGAAACTTCCTGGCTCGGAGAAATCTCAAGATGAAGGCGTCATCTGTACGTAAAAACCCAATGTCAGGCCTCGTGATGATCATGTCCCTGACTTGCTGGATATCCTGATGCAAAATGTCTGGGTTTTCATTCAGTTCCAGGCGGGCTTTCTCTATAGTCTCTGGACTAAGTCCAGCTTGTAAATGGGTCATCTCTGCAAAAATCTGTTTTCCAAATCCTTAACTTCAGATATTTTAGTGGAACTGCTGATCCCATTCAACAAATGGTCTTCTGTGAGTGTGAGCCATTCAGAAGCTTTTTGCTATCATGCTGACACCTAGCAAATGAAAGTAAAGGGCTTTTCTTATTCCTGCAGAAAGAGTAACAGGCAGTTCATATGTCGTATAATCCATCCAAAGGAAAGTGTTGTTTATTCCATCAGATTCTAAAAGAAAGAGCAAATATATAAAAGGAAGATTAAGTAGGTATATAAAGATTACACAAATGTGTTTCTGAACTTTATATAACCATAAAACTGTTTGTAGGCCTCATATGTAAGAGGATAACAGCCAAATAATTTCAGAATTTGTGCAATTAAGATAAGACAGTCACTGACAACTTGAATGTATATATTTTAGCTTTCAGAAAGGCAGTCTGATTAATTAACAATTATAGATTTTAGCATCTTAGTATTAGAATACCCTTTGCAAAGTTGTTGTCTAAAAGTATGGGAGTTCCAACTTTCCATAACTTCAAGCCCAAGATGACAAAAGCAAAACTGATGATAATTGTTTCCAACACATAACAGAAGCAATATTTCAGCTTTCTAAATATGCAGATTTATAGTCATCATAATAAGTCTAACAACTTGTTTGACTTGATTTTATCAGCTGTACTGTCAGCTTGTATTTAAGGAGCTTGAATTAGCTCCTAAGTTGTTCATAAAACTGTTTAAAAATAAAACAAAACTCCACCAACATCACTGGTGTTTTCTGCTTGGTAAAACATCACTGAAAATATTTCCCACTGAGAGTTAATTTATCTTCATGGGAAATATCCCATGAATAAAGTGTTTGATGAATCCAGTCTTACAGGGTTAATGTTGCAAAGATACATATTTTACGTCAAATTCTTATTTTCAGTACCTTGTAGCTTTCTTGAATATTTAGTTCTGAATTTCATTTTCTTTTTCATTCTTGTACTTTACCTAGAATTTGTTTTTATGAGTGTTAGAAGTGATGCTTAAGCTGTTATGTATGAGCAAAACGGTACAGTGAATCTCTTACATTTCAGTGACATAATTAGCAAGAGGCTGTCATCGAAGTCTGTGTAGTTACACTTGTGTGAAATAAGATCAAGGTCTGTTCCAATGTGAAATGTGCATGAAGAAAGATCAAGATCCATCCAATTTTTCAGCCATCACAAAAACAGACAAGCAAACAAAATAAAAATAAAAAACACTGCCTAACAAATTTATCTCTCTCTCTAATTTCTGAAAAAGAAAATTTGGTTCTAAAAATTAAAAGGGAATCCCCGAGTGAAAGGCATGCTTTATTTTATTTGAGGAAAGCTGTTTGGAAAGTTATGAATTATTTATAGAACAAACACTGTTTCACTCTGCTGCTCTCCTAGATTCAGTGTTCTCATATCAAACCAAGGGGACAGCAGCAGCCAGAGCATTTCCTAGATGGGAGTGCTCAAACTTACACTGCAGGATGTGGAAGTTAATCAGCACAAGGGAACCTCAATTTCCCTGTTTTGTAAACTTGCATGTCATTGATACAAACTACACTTTAGATGCCACAGCTGCACCTCCAGGATAAGATCCCTAAATTTGAATATATTGTTTCTGCATATTTGCTTAAAGGACATTTGCGGTGTCAGGTAAGAGAAAAAGTCCCCAAGCTTTTCATTCAACAGCAACATGCAGTTGACTTTCCTGTGGGTGGGTTTGCTCAAAGGGAGTTTGCTAAGCAGCCTCTTTCAGTATTTGCTGTGGAGTTGGAGATATGTAGAGCTACCTGCAGGGCAGAGTACCCAATGATTCAGCATCAGCCTGGGAAAACTTAGGAAAAGACAGGAAGGCTGTCTTTGCCAAGTCACTACAGAGTGTGAAAGACTCCAGAAAAACATGCCCTGAGGTCTTGAGGGGGCTGCAGGTTACTCAATTCTTAAAGAAATAAGGGTTTTATTAAAGATGGGTTACATGCATAAAAAATAATGCCTTCCTCTTGCATTTATTAGACCAAATTAGGATAACGCTGCTGGTGTCAACAGAATTCTGCTGATGTAAAATTAATGTAAGGCTTTGGAAAATCAGGCCAATAATCTGTGCTTTAGATCTCAAATTAATGGTGGCATTAGCATTTTATTGCATTAATCATGTTTTGAGTTAGAATTGCCTCCACAGAGCTAGTTAGGTGTGCTTAAGTATGACACTGTCACAGGGGGATCAGAGTGCCCAGAGGCACCTGGCTGCACTCGAGGGTGCTCAGTAGAGGAGGGGTGGAAGCCAGGAGCCCATCTGGGGTCTGTGTCAGCTCTGACTCATTCATTATGAATTTGAACACTTTTGGAGCTACTGTGACTTGTGGCTGTTAAATGTGACCTCAGTGTTTTCACCGATTTTGTGAGAGTTTATGGGCGTAAAAGACATCCTTTGCTCTGCTCCTTTTCAGACTCACATCTCCCCTGAGATACTTCTTCAGAAATGAGGCAAGTTTCTGAAAGGTCAACTGCAGGCTGCTCCAGAAGGAAATGGGGACAGACCAAGGAGGGAAAGTCTGTCTCTTTGGATCTCCTCATAGGGTTCCTAATCAGTTAGTGCCAAAAATTATGCTACTTATTATCATCAAATTTTCCAATTGTTTTTACCTTAGTTAAATTTATTAGCACCCTTCATCCCGAGGATGATCCCAAGGTGACAGAGTTAAGGTCCTCTCCTGTCAGACTTTGTTGCCAAAAAGCAATTTACAAATATTTACTCTAACAAAATAAACATTCTAAAATGCATTTCAGAGTTTTCTAGTGGTGAGTTGAGCTACAGGGATGGGATACAGAATCTATAGATTATTAGATTAGATTATTAGCTGGAGCAACTTTTGCACTAAAATGCTTTACTGTTATATATTTCAAAATAATCCAAAATGTCTATGAGCAGTATTGTCACTGTCTGAATCATAACACAAATCATGAGGTTAGTAATCCTGTCTAGCACCATCGACTTCAAGGAGTTTGATTTATATCTGTGGATGACTTAGTTCTCCCCCTGTTTACCTTGACAATAAATTTAATGCTCCATAGCTACCCAGTTTAATTGTCACTGTGCTTTCTCAAATGGTGCTGATTTATCCTGGTTCCCAAAGGTATAGCAGAAGCACCTTCTCCATTTTCATCTCCTCCCACACATGGCAGTTTCTCCTCATCTGGTGTTGTGTATAGCTCTAATCCATCTGCCAGTTTTTCAGGTGTTTACATCTTTGTTCTGCATTTTTTTTCCAAATGAAGATGCTGGTCTTTTTTTATTATTATTTTTTTTTTTTTTCAATTTTGCTACATGTTGGCACACTAGACTCTTTGTTATAGTCTCAACAGCTGCTTTTCTGTGTTGTGACTCTTTGTTCCCAAGGGACTATTTGCTCTCCTAATGTCTTTTCACAGCCACTTACAATAAATCATCCCTTCAAAGGAACAAACCCAAGCTTTAAACAAGGAAAAATAATTAACAGAAGGTATGAAACACAATTTATTAATACAGTAAAAAAGGGGAAAATTTTGACCAGAATTGTGGTGTCATATACGATTACAGCTTATTCATATTATTTTTTGTCACAAGACAATGACAAGGGACAGAGAGTGGCTTTAGGATAAGTAAAATACTAAAAGTATCATACGGTCTTCAGACAAACAAACAGCTTATATATTTTTTTCCTGACCCTCAAAACTAAGTCTTGGTTGATAATAAAATTTATTGCAATACTTAATTAACTACAATGAAAATAATATTTTAAGAATGCATATTTAGCACTTTCTGTTCAAAGATCTTAACATGCTTTACTACTCTCTCTTCAATGGCAGCTTCTGGATCATCATTCAACACCTATCTGCCCTACAGCTGGAAAATTGGCCAAAACTGTCCTCAGTGAACATGACACTTGTCTGGACCATTTTGTTCTTGCCCACTTTGCAGTCTCTGCAACACCATTTGCCCCTTGGAGGATTGTCCTCATGTCCATTTGGCCCTTCCTCATACATTTAAATTCCAGACAGATTTGAGGGGTCTCTGTCTAATGAGAGTTTTCCATTCAGTTCAAAGCTATACACCACGTGAAAGTTCATTACTGCAGCTTTCAGATGGGGAAGGCACTGGGCTTTGATCCTCACCTGGTGTTAATAGTCATCATTGTTATGATTTGTTTAATTATATAATTCCTAGATCCCAGCATTCATACAGATATTAGCTCTTAAAATCATTCCAGAAAAGAAGGGAGTGGGCAGGGAGGGCGGGAAAATGGTAGTCTAGAATGACTTCATTTCGGAGTGTGGGTGTCATCTCATTAAATTGCTTTCTAAAAAATATTTTGATGTTAACTGTGGAAAACATCTCTGGGCTATGTTCTGCTTAGAAGGGATTTCTTCATAAGGGCAAGGGAGGATGGATCCATAGCTGCACTTGTAGGAATGGCTCCTATGGCCCTTTGTGGTCTTGGGTACTTTAGCAGGAACCCAAACTGGAGATGGAGTGCTCAGGTACAGAAAGAGATGTACCCTGGCTCCATGAAATTTCAAAAAAAGGGGTGAGAAAATCTGACCCTCTCTTGTCCTTGGCTGCAGGATCCTGGCATCCAGCACAGCCAATAGGGAGAAGTACAGCCCTGAGTGATTTGCCTGCAGTCACGGAGGACACATTTCACAGAGCTGGGAACAGGGCATACATCTCCTGAGCAGCAAGCGTACATGTTAACACCTGGGCAACCTTTCCAGAATACTCTGCATCATGCAAAAAATATGAAACCATATTGCACACTAGGAAATAAGGAGGTAGACCGCAATGTTCCCTGTTTCTCCAGCATAAGGAGAAGCTTCAGTGGCCCAATCAGGACCCCAAAAGTGTATAATTTCTTTATACTTTTGGCAAAAGTTAACCCCCTATGGGGGACCCCAGTAGGCCTGTTTCACTTCCCAATTCCATAGCCTGACTGCTGCTCAGACTATGAATGTCTCCTACAGACCTTTCCTAAGGGATGAGATTCTCTCAGTGAACCTAAATGAGTTAAACATTGCAAGCCTTTCGCATTCAATGCCTCAAGTTCCTGTAAACCTTTGCTAGGGAACTATTACTCCTCTTCAATATTAAAACAGGAAACATTTCTGACTCTAACAGCTGTGTGGGGAGTTTGATGTTTTCTCACACTTTCCTGGGTTGTGATCTCCTTGCTCAGGTGCAAAGCCTAACATTTCCTTCAATCCAGTAAAAACAATACATCATACATCCCTACGCCCCTTGTATTACAGTCTTCTTGTCAGCTTGAGTCAGTTACAGGTTACCCCTTGGGCCACATCTATCTGTCCAACAGTGGTAATTTAGCCATGGCTCAGCACAAAACATGGCAGCAACTCAACTGAACCTTGTAGCTCCCTGCACAGTAAGTAGGGCAGGCGTGTCTGCAGCACTGACCTGCAGCTGCCCTGCTGCTGCTGCAAGCTGACGGGCATCAGGAGAGACTGACAAGGTTGTCTGACAGATGTGGAATAAACAGATTGCCTCACTATCTTTTGACACAAAATTTGCAAAGTTATTGTCAACCTGAATATTAAGGAAATAGGACTACAAGCCGAGCAGGGAAACTCAGAGAACCTGTAAATAAAAAAAGTTAAGCAAAATGACTGTGAACTAAATGTGTTTACTTCTATCTTTCTCCAGATAATTGTTTTAAAGTTTTACATACTTAACCACAGATAAACTGCAGTCCCCTGTGGGAATGTGATGCCTGTCCCATGGAATGTCAAACAAGCAGCAGGCTATGTGGGACTTCCATGTCGGTCATGAACTGGAAGTGTCACCATGCAAAAAGCATCCTGGCCACTACTGGATAAAGAAATCATTTTTTTTACATTGTATAGGAACTTCCTTCAGCAGAAATTATCAGCAGTATATAAAACATGAATTCTTACCCCCAAGCATGATAATTAAGCTATGTGTAGAAATCTGATAGCACGGGATAATAATACTTGTTCCTGAAAACCCCTAAATGCATTGTAGAAGTTGTATTATGCCATCTATACAAAGATATACAGAAGAAGGAAGAAAATATATAATCAAGATATTTAATTCTACATCTTTAGTAACATGAAGTTTATCTGATTTTAAGGGGCTTTTGCTACATATTATAAAACAAACAAACAAACAAACAAAAATGCTCTTTTAAAAATATTAAATTAAATGATTGTATATTATTACCCTGTCAAGTGGAAACTTAGTTCATCACACATTATGACTGAAAATAGTATCTGCCATCCTGTGGGGTGGCAGAGGGAGGAAAGAAAGGAAGGGAGGTGGGGTAAAGAGGATGAAAGGAGAGAAAAAAAGGAAGGAAGGGAGGAAGGGAGGAAAGGGAGGAAGGGAGGGAAGGGAGGGAAGGGAGGAAGGGAGGGAGGGATGAAGGAAGGAAGGAAGGAAGGAAGGAAGGAAGGAAGGAAGGAAGGAAGGAAGGAAGGAAGGAAGGAAGGAAGGAAGGAAGGAAGGAAGGAAGGAAGGAAGGAAGTTTAATATAATTTGATAATGCTTTGTATGTTCATTTTCTCAGTGGAGCAACATGTTAGACTTAATGACTTTCTTTGTAAAAATACTACTCAAAAAAAAAAGAAAAAGAAAAAAGCTGGTTTTAGAAAACAGCTAAATTCTAGGAGCAGTGGTAATATCAAGAGGTAAAGGACTTATAATCATCTGCCAAAAACTCTATGAACTTCTGTTCACTGAACTTCCACCTTTATAAAAGGCTGATGTTCCCACCTGTTTTAACTTGTAGGATCTGATTGTCACATCTCGTATGTGTATGTGCCAGACACCATAGCAATGGGCTGTGAGAGAATATAATTTTTTTATTTTTACTTTTTGCAAAACAATAGTGCTAATACTTCAGTAATTGCACACCTAAATTAAAAACTGCAGAAGTTTACAGTCCTAGTTTGATGGAAATATTCTCCGTCATTTTATGAGGATGATCATTTGTATTTTAACTGACATGGTCCCCCTTTGGAAGACACAGAGGCTGCTGTTACATGTTTCAATGAAACACCTTCTGTGTTCAAAGCACTCAGAGTTTAAAGAATTATGGTTCAATGTGCTTGGGCTGATTCTGCAGTCCCTTTATTGCCAAACTCAGTTGCACTGCTTATTCTGCTACTCAGCAGCACTCGGTGCTAGTCAGTATAAAAGTATCTGGTCTCTGCACCAGATTCTGTCAGAAATTATGAAATAATAAAATAAGAATGGCAAGGTTATTAGGACAGGTTACATTATTGTTTCTTGTTTTGCATACACGTTACAAGTCTAATATTTAAAAACTACTCAATAGTTTTCAAAGGTGGATGAGTCAACAAAATTGCTAAGATAAGCAGCAATATTCTATAGCAGATACATATCAGACCCGATTATGCTGACAACATAAACTGTCCCTGCAAACTTCATGCTGGGAAACAGACTACAAAGCAGGGAAATATCTATAAGGTTATCTGACTTATCACTATATAAGAAAGAAAATCCTTACCTTTGCTATGCAACACTTGACATAATACTGTTACATAATATGTCATTTAGATGTTGGCATTGCATTAACTTTTGTTACAGGAGAAAATCCGTGTTATCATCTGATTACTCAGAAAGCACATGAAAGCAGCCTTTCTGTAATTTAATTTTTCCTTCCAAATATGATCCAGTCACTGTTTAGTGATGGACAATGACTAGCCATCTGCTCCTTAACTTCATTATTCCTGGAGCTTGTTTAGATTTAGGAATCAGCATTTTGAAAGGGAAAGCTCTCTTCTTCCTCTGACCTTCTTCAACCCCCCTCCGCTCCCACCAGGATTAAACCACTGTAAGACAGAATTAAAGTCAAGCCAGCAGTATGCATGGGGTTGCTCCAGCAGTTATTTGGTTTATGTTTGTTTTCTGTATGAAGCCCTCCCTGACCACGCTCACTGCTTGCAGAGACCACAACTTAATTCTTGACTTCCTCCAGCACAGGATCCATGGGGGTAGGCATGATTCAGCCTACTTCTTCCCTGCACACATTACTCATCACTGGCCTTTGGGAAAGCAGAACATTTGACTGACCCTGCAGTCTCCCTCCCCTCAATCTCTCACCCCTCCTCTGGGCTGAATGTACCTGGTCAAAACAGGCATCAATTTGCTGAGAAGCAAACAGGTATCTGCTTGTGTTTGGCAAGCTCCTGTCTGTATCTGTCTGCAGTTAGCTGGGGTCTCTACTTGGTGACTTAACTCCCAGCTTTAACCCTTGCCCCTCCATCCTCCTTGCCTCTCATCTACTCTGAAATTGGATCTAGACTTTCCCTTCCAACTTGTACGCTTTCCCCTGCTTCCCCAGGCTAGTGATGGAGAAAGAAAGCAGGAGGGGCAGATGGGGCAGGAAAGAAAGGAAGGGGGGGAAACTGGGGCAGGGAGGCAGGAGAGCAGAGCAGGGAAGAGAGTAGACAGGAGAGGAAGAAGCAGAAAGGCAGGAGGCAGAGAGGCAGGGCAAGGAGAAGAGGAGGCAGAAGAGACAGGGTAGGTAGGAGGTAGGAAACAGGGAAGGGAAGAAAGGCAGGGGGGGTAAGGGAAGTAGGGCAGGCAGGGGAAGTAGGACAGTTAGGAAACGCAGGCATCAGGACAAGGAGGAGAGAGGCAGGGCAGACAGTGAGCTGGGGAAAGAGGGAGGCAGAGAGCACGGAGGCAAGACAGGCAGGAGAGGCAGGGAGCAGGGGAAGGAGGCAGGGAGGGAACAGGCCAGGTAGGAGGTGGGGGGGGGGGGGGGGGGAGGCAGGGACCAGGGAGTCAGGACAGGCAAAAGAGTCAGAGTCAGAGAAGAAAGGTAGGAGGGGTAGAGAAGGGTAGGAAGGGTTGGAAGGGTAGGAAGGGCAGGAGGGGTAGGAAGGGCAGGAGGGGTAGGAGGGGTAAAAAGGGTAGGAGGGGTGGGAAGGGTGGGAAGGGTAGGAAGGGAAGGAGGGGTAGAAAGGGTAGGAGGGGTGGGAAGGGTAGGAAGGCAGGGAGCAGGGCAGGCATGGAATGGGTAGCAGTTAAGAGCAGGGCAGGCAGGAGCAGGCAGGGGCAGGCAGGGGCAGGCAGGAGCAGGCAGGGGAAGGCAGGGGCAAGCAGAAACAGGCAGGGGAAGGCAGGGACAGGCAGGGACAAGCAGGGGAAGGCAGGGGCAGGCAGGGACAGGCAGGGACAAGCAGGGGCAGGCAGGGACAGGCAGGAGCAGTGCAGGCAGGAGCAGGCAGGGCTCGGAGCCGCCCGCAGCGCGGCCGGAGCTGTCCGCCCGGCGGGTGCTGAAACGCCGCAGCCCGGGCCCGGCGGCGCGGAGAGGAGGGGGGGGGGGGACGGGATCGCGGCGAGCCGCCCTGCCGCAAACCGAGAAAAGACAAATCCAAATACCTGCACAGAGCCAGGCAGCCTGCCGCCGGGAGGGTTTGGGTTTTGTTTTGTTTTTTTTTATCCCCCTGTAGGTGTCCTTGCTGTTGAGCTGGGTGGGTGAGCAAGATCTCCCGGCTCCCAGGTTCAGGCTCAGATCTCTCTAGAAAACTGTGAATGAGCGAGCGCCAGCTCCACGGGGCTATGATTTTTTTTTTTTTTTTTTTTTTTTTTTTTTTGGTAGGAGGCGTGTGCACCAAAGCCTGGGTCCTTCCACTCGGCGGCTGCCGTCCCCCTGGGTCCTAAGCCCTCCTGCCGCCCGCCCGGCTGCCTCCCGGCGCTCCCAGGCTGCGGGCTCGGCGCTCCGCCACCGCCGGGGGAGTGGTGACAAAGGAGCCGCGGGCTGCCGACAGCCGGGAAAGCAGCAGCACAGCCGGGCAGTGCGAGCTTAGCAGCGTGGGCTTTCGCCTGGTGACACGGTCTTCGCCGCCTTTATTTCGCGCATCCCCTCTTTCCCGGTGAAAGTCGGGGAGAGCGCAACCTCCTGCGACATTTACAGCAGCCACGGAAATCTGCATGAATTATAGATGGGCTGCCTTAATGAACATGGCAGCCTGGGTTTAAGAGACAAGTTCGGCTTGGTCAGACTACAGGTACACCTAGCTCAGGACACTGTCACCAACAGCAGCCACAGCGAATGTCCAGTGAAGAAAATGGAAACAGGACAAGGTTCCCCCCTGCACTCTCCCAGCCCCTCTCCCAAACCTTTAAGTTCTTTACTCCCCCATCAATGTCCTGCCTGTGTTTTTAGGATCAATTTCTCCTTGATCTTTCCCAGTCTCTCCTACTACACCTATAAATTTCTGAATCATCCTTCCATAATATCCTTTGACAAAAAGCTCCACAGGTCATCTGCCTATTGCAAAAACAACCACCTATTTTGTACAGAGATCTGTAAGCTTTAGCTAACATTGTAGAAAGTATAGGAGAGGGGAACTTCTCTCCTCCTATTTGATCCTGAAAATCTCTTTCTGTATGAGTGTCTTAAAAGCTATGCTAGGAAGCTGTACTTGAAAGACTAGGTGACTTAATGGCCTTGGCACACTAAACGCACTCCACTGCTCATATCAACACAGTAAGACCTACCGATGGTAAGAGCAAAATGCGTTTCTTCCTCTGCTGTCCCTGAACATTGTGGAGTATAGTTCCTAGGAAGTGATGGATTAAAGTCAGCTGACTCTTAGTCTCTGCTTTGGACAGAACTCCTGTGTGAGTTACTGAAGGATCTCATATAGTGAAGACTGGGTGATAAGAGAACAATAATGATAAAAGTATGGAACAACTTTTGCATTAGAGATGACTAAGCAGAGTAGGATTCTTCAGCATGGAAAAAAATATGAGTAAGCATGGATATAATAGTGTCTAGTTTCTCTCATCATTTAATAAGAATGATCAACATGAAGAAAATTAATTGTTTCCAGTTCAAGGAGTAGGAGAAATGAAACCCACTATGTCTAGCTTTAAAACTATCCAAAAAAATCTATCCATGTTTCTTCACAAAATATTTAGTGAATCCATAGAACTAATTTCTACAGGAGTTCAGGCTTCAGAAAATTGTTGGATACATCCATGGAGGAAGAATCCCTAGAAGCCATTTATCATGAAGTCATGACCTCTGGCTCAGGAAGTCCACAAACAGTTTGCTCCACAAACTGTTGAAGGTTGGGCTGGTATTTGGAAAGAATACTTACATCCTTGCAATGCCCTTATTCCTTGCCTTAGCCATCCACTGCTGATCACTGCTGGAGATAGGCACTAGGCTAGATGGACCTTTGATCTGACCCAGTGGTGGTTGCTCTTGGATTCTTATATACAAAGTAGGCTTTGAAACTATGAATGCAGCAGGAGCGCTGCCAGCTTTGTTTTCGCTTGAAAGGGGGGAAAGCCTATGGTTTTGTTCTATTTGAAAGAGCGTACATCCAGTCAGAATCACTTGCTTTTGGGGGAAGTTCCACAATATTCATGAGCAAAGGCAAAAGGAATTTGCTGGGAAGATCCCTTGTGCTTTTAGAATGATTTGCGTGCACAACCACTAATTTAACCCACAGCATGTTTAAAAACAGTATACAAGGCATTTACATCCTGTGACCCAATCACATTGACTGCAAGAGGTAAAGCAGCAGCTCAAAGGCAGAGAGCTCAAAACTCTCAAAAGAGAGAGCATTTGTCCCAGCACTTGAGGGGTTATTGTTTCTAGCCTCAGGAAAGTTAGTAGTCAGTTAGTAAGTAGTGTCTCATTAGATCGTTATTTTCTGCATAGAGATCGGTTTGAAAATAAAATAATATGTGCTCTGTTTTCGTCATTCTGTTGCAGGCTTCCACTCACACATATGATAAAGATTAATGTTCTAGCTACTGTAACTATGCAGTACTTCCTTGGGAATTGTTAATAATATTAAATAGAATGAACATGACTCTATAAAACAACTGCCTTAGGCAGTCAAATGTGTTGGCTCTCAAGTGCCAAATTTGATGTATACTTAATATTGGATAATTTAATATTTTTATTTATTTTGTTAATTGAAGGTTTTGGGTATTTTTTGTCCTCCCTTTAGTATTGCTCCCTTTAGTATTTAGTATTTGCCTCCCTTTAGTATTTAGGTGACCAGTGCACGCTGATCCATGGGTTGACTGACATGTAGCACAATGCTATGATAGAAGTGAGTCTCTAAACATATTACTGCAGGGCCTCATATTGATCCCACTGCAAATATTCTCAGGTTTCTTTCTCATCACTGCTTCATTACTTTCTCATCACTTTCTTTCTGCAAAGTCTACTCTGTACTCAAGAGCATGCTTCAGGTCTCATTTTTCTGTACTGTCCCCATCATTACACTTAAACTGAAATTATATCCTCATGAACAGGTATGTTGAAGGTAAAAATCCTTCAGTTTCATAACGATTTCTGGGACATAAGAAACTCCCTTGCTGATGTGCACAGGATGGAGCTGCATCCCACTCTCATTTGCAGAGCTGAATATGCAGAGCTAAGGGAAGAAAAATACACCAGTTTGTCACTGAAGGCATTAGAACTGACTGAATACCCAAAGGAAACAGATCAATGTATAAGGGGAAGGATATTTTATACAGCACCTTCTGAGCATAAAACAGTACTTTGATACTAAATTTATTCTAACCTGGCCTTCGCTATCACCACACATATTGATTCTCTGTTTTAATGAAGTGCGGTGAAATAACAAACTTTGAAAGAGAATATGTTTTTTCAGCACTAGCGAAAAGGGTCCATGCACATGAACTTATAAGGAAGCCATGGAAAGGTAGAGTTGTTCCATGGTCTAGGTAAAATGAACAATTTCTTCTGGATCCGCTCTGTTTAGAACAAAACATTCCATCTTCTTTCAGGGACATTAGACACAGCCCCTTGTTGTCATCTTTAACTCCCAAGAAGGGCTATAAAGCTAGGGGTTAGGTTGCATACTTTAGCAGTCGTGATACACTCTCTGTCATGGAATTCACAAAGCCATTGAAAGACTGATTCATTGCATAATCAAAGAACTAGAAACAAATTTTCATTATGCTTTCATATTAGAATACAGATATATTTCTACATCAAATGAAAATATTTTGATATTCATCCTCTTATAAGGTTAGTGTTTGTGAATGGTGTACATATATAAGGAGGCGAAGAGATCTTTACCAGAATTCAGTACATCTAGTGTATCTAGTGTATCTTAGTGTAAGTCATGTTTCCAATGTGATTTCTCCAATATTTAAAATGTTTTTTTCCATCTTGTGAATAAGGCATTTGTGAAATAACACAGTATTGAATGTCCCTGTATCTTTAAATTTTCTTTTATGAAGAATTTGCTGCAAGTTTCTAAAATTAACAGTCAATTTTAATAATTAATTGGGAGCTCATTCTTTTTCCCTAATCTACAATTACCATCTGGTTTTATTTCCTTTGAAAGAAACTGCATTGAAAGCCCCAGTAGATTAAAAAATAATAATGCTAAAACTGCTTAGACCCAAAAAATCATTATTCTTAAGGGAGAAGTAACTCTTACATCACAGTTCAGAAGGATTCATGTTATAAATCCTCCCAGGTTTCCTGAACCTTTAAATTATTTAAAACTTTATACCCAGGAATGCAGAACATATGCAAATGGATTGTTGGTATGTTTTATTTAATGAGAAGGGTCCAGGTTTTGCCTTTTTTTACTCTTGATGGAGAGAATTCACTCTTTTGCTGAATTCATGCAATTGCTGTTATCTAGATAGTATAAAACTGGGAAATGAGCATGTAAAATGGTGAAGATAAAATGTTCCCAACTTCATGGAAAATCCATGAGCCACCACAGAGCTGGAGGCCAGTGGCAGAACTTAGGTAAAGTCAAACTCTCAGGGCTGTGACCCAGAATTTCACCCCTTAGCTGTAACCTAAGGTATAAACCCCACAGGAGGGTTATTTGGGGTTGTAAAGTTCCTGGTGCAGGTCTAGGCTGAAGCAGCTTGGTAGCAAAGATCAGGCAGCACTCAGAAAACTACGAGTGTCTCTCTGAAGGCCTTTAGGTGTTGGACATGTTAATTTCAGGTCCAGGTGTGCTGTTTAAGTAAGGTATGGATTTGGCTTCATGTCAGTAGTGGGTTTAACTCGGCAGCACTGACCGTGCTGACTTTAGTGAGATGCCAGTGACTTAAATCACCAGGGGACCTGCTTCTAATTGAGTTCAGTTACTCACTAAGTCAGTGCTACTCTATCCAAACAATAACAACACTCTTGTGCTAAACTGTTGAGTGTCTGTTTGCAGAGGGAAATAAATTATGTCATATTTTGCATGGCTAAAACCTAAATGATTTGATGTAATCTTTGAAGAATAGCACAGCAAAACTTAGCCTTACTGCATAAGAAACAAGAGATCAGAGCTAACTTCCACCTGATCCAGGAGTAAGACAACCAAAGGATTGTCAGGCATGACAAAAAAGAGGCATGCAAGAGATCCACAAAATCGATGAGTCCAGCAAGAAGGTTTAGGATGGCTGTTACAGAATTAATTCAAAAAAAGTCTACTTGTTGGCTTTTGCTGGTGCTGTGCTATGCTGGGATCTTTTTGCACATAAACACTTCAGCCTGAATTCTAACACACTGGTCGCAGATAAGATTTGCTAAATGCTTGAAATATGTATGCTGTTTGCTGTTAATTCTCCCATGTGTTAAATTCAGGGTTCTGTAACTTCACAAGGTCTGTTGTATATTTTCCTCAAACTGCAACTTGCTTCTATGCATCTGTCCAAAATAGCTTTAACTGTTGAGCTCAAAGTGCAAGACAATATCTTCTGAAGTGACAAAAAATGATTTAAAGGTTGGGAGTTTGACAGGAATAGTTAGAGAGAGGGGAAATAATAGGATGCTATCATCTGATTGCTTAGTTTGTTACGTGATGATTTATTTCTAGAATATTTTAAAATGAATGATGTACATAAATACAAGCAGCTTTGGATGGGAATAACATAAATCAGAAACAGTAATAATGACTGTGAGCTGTTGTATGTGTAAACAAGCATATGTGCAATATAAATTCAATTATCTGAATGTCACTGAGGATATAGAATAATTTCACATTTGTGTCTCTGAATAACTGCAGAGATTTTTGTTGGAAATAAAAACAGATGGAGGACATGATCTTGTTCTG